TTTCTTTATACTGTCACCGAGAGGCCATGATCCGGCCACGTCGTTCGGTGGCCACATTTCCCCACGTGCCAAATCATAGGTAGAGCTTCTCCATGCCACTTGGCAATTAGCAGGGATTCACCAATCACGGGTAGTTAAGTTCTTCGCCACCGGCACTAGCCTAACAAGCCAGTTTTATATACACGGTATTTCACCACTGGCTCAAAGTTTTGTATTTACTAATCTCTTCATAGGATGTCGCAAGAATCACTCCATGAAGACAACTTGTCTCTCCAGGGCTCTCCCCCCGGGCCCAATACACCCATTAGACCTATGTCACGAGCTGTATCTCTCATAATCGCTACCCCTGGTTCTCTGGGATCTTGGACCTTTCTTAAATTGGCAGCAGAACTACGCCATAGGAATGTTCCTTTCCCGGCCACAGCTAGGAAAGCAGAACTCTTTAAGTTGTTAACAGTCCAGTCCAACGATCCCTGGTCCGGCACAAGTTCTCAGGAGCCCAGTGTCAGCTGTTTGGGACAGTTTCAATACACTTTGTCATTCATCTTGTCAACCCTTCAGTCACTTAACGAGAGAATGACCAAGATAGAAATATAATCCCTACAGTTACCAGCACACCTCACACTCCAGGCCCAGCGCCTGCACCTTCAAACACGCAAGTTAGGGAAATTACCATAATTCCCCCCACTTCACATGGCATCAACCCTGTAAATTCTATTCCAACTTCCAATAGGAAAGACATTCTGGATGGCAAGGATGGCAGTCTAGTCTCTCTCCTTATAGCTTCGCAGGATAAGAGAGAATTTTAGTTTTGGTGATATGTCAGTGATCCACAAAACAAGGGACCAACCTCTTAATAAAAAGCTCCCCATCCCTGAATTTGTTCTCAGCTTCAGACTATACAGAGACGTCATCTGCTCTGTATTCCCTCAGAGGAATTCGACCTCTATCTACAAAAGGTAGTGGACCTGGGGCACAAGTACAGGGGTTTCGTCTTCTATGATTATCACAGGTCAGTTTCATCAAAGGCAGCAGCGGCTCTGGCCCAGACCAACACTCACATCGATTGGAGTCAGTTGGACACAGAGCTGTTCTGCAGGCATTTTGCCGGCTTGAGACCCCCGTCTTGTGCGGTTTGCTCCTCTACCTCACACTCCTCCAACTTGTGTCCCTGCAAAGCAGAACACTCTACATCTCAGCCCTCCACTACCTACCCATCCCCCAACCCCTCTGTCAGTCAGGATAGGGGACAGAGAGATAAGCTAGGAAGACCAGTCATATTCGTGAGCAAGGCGCAGAAATGCAACAACCTTAATGCTGGAGCATGTAACTACAATGTCTGCAGGTTGTTGCATATTTGCTACATCTGTTTCAGGGCACATATAAAAGCCATGTGCCCTTCTAAGATTTCCCCTAGGAAATCACTGACTGAGGTAAACATTGACACTGTAGCTTTCCATTTACGCACCCACCCCTCCCCTCACCTGGTGCAATATTTGATTTTTTGTTTTTTCTGAGGGTTTCCCCACAGGGTTAGTAGCACTCCCACCAGGCACACTGGAATGTCCTAATTTACTCTTGGCTACAAACAACACATCTGATGAGTTGCTACAGAGAGAGACCACATCAGGCTTTATGATCAGTCCTTTTCCGCACCCTCCTTTTTCTACATGGCGCACGAACCCAGTGGTGCAGAGTGGTTACCAACAGCACAACTAATAAAAACAGTTTGATTATCGATTTGTCGGCACCTCATTCTTCAAAAAAACATTAGTTTAAATTCATTAATACCGGCTGAAGAATTCTCTCTCCATTATGCCTACGTGGATCATGCCATACAAGCTATACTACTGGCCGGCAAACAAGCTCATGCAAAAATGTACTGGTACCCGGAGGGATCTCCAGTCTCTACTGGGATACCTCAATTTTGCGATGCATATCATTCCACAAGGGAGATCCTTCATCTCCTGGCTACGCCATGCCTGATAATGGCACCATAGTCCTCAACCCGCCAGCCGTAGCCGATTTAATCATGTGGAAGCACTTCCTAGCAGAGTGGAACGGCATCTCCATGTTCGTTCCCCCACTGACCAAGCACTCTCCTGTTATTTGGACTGATGCAGCAGCCCACTCGGGGTTTGCTGCATTTTTTGGTAACCACTGGTTCAGGGACGTGTGGCCTCAAGAGGTGCTTGCCTTACCAGCCTTCAGGGAAACTTCAGCCCTTTTCGAGATCTATCCCATTGCAGCAGCAGCTCATACTTGGGGTCAGCTGTGGGCCGGTAAATCGGTCAAGTGTTTCTCAGACAATTTGGTGGCTTGCGAAATCATTAATAAAGGGCGCTCTTCCTCCTTAAAAATAATGCGGTTATTACGTAGATTGACGTGGCTGACCGCCAAACTTCAATTCTTTCTGGTGTGCAAGCACATTCCAGGCATCCATAATACGGCAGTTGATGCTTTGTCCCGATCTCACTTTCAAGCATTCCACAAGGTGCATCCCTTCGCCAACCAGCTCCCATCCAGAATACCGACATTTCCAGAGTTAACACTGGATTAACAAAATTATTGACTCACGCACAGTCACTCTCACGAAACGTTGTGTCTGCCAACACCAAAAGAGTCTACGACAGGGCGTTGACTGAGTTCCACATATTGGGTGGAGAGTTTAAAGTTTCAAATAATTACTCTATTTTTGCCACCTACACCTACAATTAGCACCTAACACTATTAAATTACATCTTACAGGTATACAGCACCACGTCCTCACAACCTTTCCCAATCACCCACCTTTTCTTTCCACGTACCCCATCAAATTTATTCTCAAAGGTATCAACAAAATAGATCGATCTCCAACTACCAATAGATTACCCATAGACGGAAACATATTCATGAACATGTCACACCTATTGGATACAAACCCCTTTAATATCCAGACTAACTCTGTCATCGAGTAGCCATTTACATCCCCTTTTACGGCTTCCTCAGACCCCAAAAGTTCACTGTGGTCCGTCAAACGGATGTCAGCTCCTGTTTAAAACTATCGGACCTAACCAAACATAGTGACCATTACATGATGTCTTGACACTCATCTAAAACCAACCACACAACCTACCCAACTACAATCCCTCTGTTTCCTACAGAGAACCTCTGGTGTCTCGTTAAAATACTCAACTTATTTATAACCACAAGTCTCAGTCTCCCACCTAACTTCAAAAGACTGGGCAGATAGAAATCCCGTTTACAGCACTTATACTCCACATCCTGAGAAAGAACTTAGGAAAACCTTTAAATGTAATAAATTATTAAAAGAAAGTGTGTTCTCTGCACTATATTTTGCCCTCTTTATTACAGGCCTACCCGTACGTTGGTTTTGGCACAACACTACCAACTTTCCCCCTCTTCTCTATTTTCATATATGAATTAAGTTCCGACCACAAGTAAAAGGCCATAGGCCTGAATTTTTGGGAGGAGTTTTCCCTATAAAAGCTCTACCCCCCGTTTACCTATGCTGGTTCCTGTTAGAGCGACCCCTCCCTCCACTCCCTCTAATAACTTACTATCATCATTACATTACCTCTGGTGGGCCCTCTTTATTACAGGCCTACCTGTTGGTTTCAGCACACCACTACCAACTATCCCCCTCTTCTCTATTTTCATATACGAATTAAGTTCCGACCACAAATATATATATATATTATGTTTTTCTAATTTGCTCTGCTGGAAACGCTGAAATGCAATACCATTTTTAAACCTGCATGCCTGGTCAGTTGTCACCACACAACTTTACCTCGTGTGATTGATTTTTGACTCCAAATGCTTTACCATGCAATTAGGTTAGAGACGTTAAGGCCTATCTATCATACTCTGCATGCTATGGAGGCATCTCAGCTCGGGCCCAACAGTGCTATATTAAACAGCTATAGAAGAGGCACGCAAGGAGGCAATGTATGGTGGCCCTATGCAAGAAGGCATGTAACAACATAGCAGATACCTTTCTGTGGATTGGCACTTGAAGTGGCTGAGAGCCCCCCAGTCCTTCAGTTAAAGCAGTCATCTGGATCTGCCATAACGTGTTCTGCCTTCCTTCCATACCAATAGCTTTGCGGGATATCCCCATTTGTAGGAGATATTGTGATTGCACAGAATTCTGTGCTGCCGTGAGTAGTAGGTTCTTGTAGTGATAGTGATAATACTCGATCACATCCCTGAGGGTGTCCACAGTGAATCTCGCCGGTATTGGTAGTCTGTGCAGACAGTCAAATTGCCATGCAGTATCTGGTGCCTCCAGGACTACGGCCTTGCAGATGGCTTTGATGTAGGCAGGAAGCGCTTCTTGCAAGATATTTTCAGGGATACCCCTAAATCTCACGTTCTCTCTCCGCAACCCGTCTTCTATGTCCGCAATTTTGTTTTTTAACGCTGAATTTTCTTAAGTAAACTTTTGCACTTTGTCCACAACTTCATAGTGGGCTTCGCACAACTCCTCAGTGCGTTGCTCAAGATGACTTGTGCGGTCCCAAAGTTCAGATATATCCTTTCTAACTAGCAGACTCGGAGCATCTTACGGTCTGCAGAGATGGTAGCCTGCATTCTTTGCAGCATTCTGTCTAGGCACTTCTCCGTGACCACCTCATCCGTGTAGAATGGAGAGTGCGGGGGCTCTTGTCCTTTTTCGTGCCCCGGACTGGATCCGTGAATTTCGTCTGCTTGGAAGGAGCCGTTTTTTTTACTGGAGTGTATTACATAATATTTTACATGTGTTAATTCCATTGGCAGTCTAGACTTTGCCTTTTTTTTTTTTTATGCCCCAAATCACTACATGGTTAACAGTTATTATAATACATATTTGTGTTATTCTCCTTGAAAATAAATTGTTTGACATTTTATATGTATTCATCACATGCCAATGTAGAGACGGGTAATTTTTTGTTTAATTTTAAAAAAATCCATTGTTAAGACTGACAAAGCATCATTGGAGTTGTTTTATAATAGTTGTTGATCTACATTTTGGAGATTCTTGTCGAGATATTTACACTCCATTAATGATTAGTTGCCCCATTCCGATATACATGTTTTAGTAATCAACACCTGATGTTTGCTAATAATAAAAACATGAAATACATGCAAATGTTAATTTTATATCAGACATACATATTAATAGCACAGCTCACACTGAGTGTAATTGCCACTATAAATAAGTCCTAGGAGATTTAGGTAAGAATTTAAAAACTCAATATTCTATTTCTCATTTTTTTTCAGGAGTCAGAGAAAAAAAATCTCTCTTGTGATAGTCATTTGCTCCATACCAATATATTGAAGTGCCATTACTCCAAATAGCTTTTCCTCTTTCAATTTCATTCTGCAAGTGTCCCTTGTGCTCGTGGCAATATCAGGTCATGCACGAATGTCCCTATTTTTAGACTGGCAGATTTAGCTACAGAAAAGCTTGACTCTGTTTTGCGTTTTGTATTCTATAGATCTGTTTAATGGGCTTGGTACCTTCCATAGACTTTGGCAACTCACATACAAGTCTGCAGAAGCATGGTTTTATCTTAAACTTTTACTCTTTAATCTTTAAACAGAAATTCCTTTTTTAAATAGCTTTAATCAGGACCTAAGAGCACGCTATATTTCTTTAGAAAAAATATAATCAGATTGTTATGATGAATCGCATTTACCCTACTGATAATAAAAAGGTCATTCATTTACTATTTAATGTTATCTCTCTCCATGCAATCTTTTCAAGAATGAGCAAATTCAAATGTTCCAATGTTGATATCGCATAAAATTACACATTCAATTTATTTTTATTAATGTACAAAGTTGTAGATGGCATTATTAGATGATGCTGGATTTAAATAATGTGGCCGTCTTTACCAGTTCAGTGCTATTTAATGTTTGAACATGCTGCCATTCCAGCCAGTATTTCTGATTACCTGCTATATGCTGTTTAATAGAAAAGCTATTTCATTAGAACTTGCCTAAAAATAGTTTAAAAGACAGTCTGATTCCGTTTTCCATTTTGCATTTAACAAGATTATCTTCATTCCTTTCTCAGGGGTAACTGCTACACTCCTTTGCTAAATGGTGAAAAATTTAAAAGGGAATTGATTGTATTAGAGCAAAATAACTGAAGTGGAAACGCTTTAAAGGGACTCTGTCACGTGCGTGGGCTATAGGCCCAGCCGAGACAGTGGGGAGAGTGTGGAAGTGACAGGGTTAATGACACCAGACCCCTGGTTACCTGTTGCTAGTCCCAGCAACCACTCAATTAACCCCTGCAATCCCTTCTACACTATCCCCCTTAGTACTACTGCCACCACCAAGACTTTTAAACCCGGGCGTCTTAGGTTACCCCACACACAGGAGAATTATAGTATCACAGTTCTACTTTTACTGATAAAACATATATAGTTAACCCTTTTTGGTAACGTGTTTACCTGAGCTTTCCTCTGGAGAGTGAAGCTCATAGAGAACAGAGACACAAGCTGATTAAGTAAACATTTAATCTGACAAAAAGGATTCACAGTGCTGAGTACAAAATACAGAAATAAATGACATACAGATAACAAATTGCAAAACAGTACATAAAATAAAATAGGAGAAAACACAAGAAATTCCTTACATATATTTACCCCATATAGAATTCTTGTGGGAGTCTTAGATGGTATAGGTCTCCTAGAAGTTACTGACAAAAGAAAAAATGAAATATCTGGCTTCCCTGGATAGTCCAACACCCTCATATATCTAAACTAGTTGTTTCTCAGTGGGCAGACCCCTGGGGGGGATCAGAGGGGGCTGGTCTGGCAGTCTATTGCCCACTCTATGAAATTCCTTGTGTCCAGCTCTGGTGATGGCTATCTAGATGTTTTATGGTCTAGGCCTGGTGCAAGATCAAAGACCACAATAAATGTCATCCCAAGGTTTACAAAAAACAACTCTTAACATATATAAACACACATCAAACACCAACTCATGCTTTTGGCATGACAGACTCTATAGGCACCCAGACCACTATTGCTCATTGAAGTGGTCTGGGTACAGTGTTCCAGGCCCCTTAACCTTGCAATTGTAATTATTGCAGTTTTTTGATAAACTGCAATAAATGCATTGCAGGGTTAACTCCACCTTCCAGGTGGTTAGGTGAATTTTGATCGCTTACAGGGATCCTATAGTGCCAGAAAAACAAATCCGTTTTCCTGGCACTATAGTTTTAAAAAGTGCACCTCCCCTCGTACCCCTCCTCTCGCGGGGTTGAATCTAGTCCCTCGGTGTTGGGACAGGCCCTGCCCGCACATCAGTCGGCGGGGAAGAAATAAGTGCATGAGAGTTCCCCATAGGAAACCATTAAAAGCATTATTCAATTATTTCCTCTGGGGAAAATCTGACGCTGGAGGTCCTCATGTTGAGCGTCAGGACGTCCAGCGTCAGATAACGGGCCAAAGATCCATCTAGATTATGGAAGCGCCCCCCAGTGGCTGTCTGTTAGACAGCCACTGAGGGCAGACTTAGAGCTGCAATTTAAATGCTCTGCATCACCCAAAATCCAATAGGAAAGCATTACACAACTTTGTTTTCCTATCACTATAGTTTTCCTTTAACAACTATTTTCTTGAATTTAGTCTGCAATTAGCAGTCCCCTTTCAATTATCCACAATTTCCCAGTTTAGAAAGGAATCTGGACTGTTTTCCTTGTTTTGTACTGTACTGAAAAAAAATGTATAAAGTGAGTTGTTCCCACCATGGGACTCAAAGAATTTAGAGCACCCTTAATGCATCACTTCGCTGTCATGTATTTCACTTTCAAATAAAGTGCCAGAATTTTTTATTTTTTATTTTTTTAATACAACTTCACTAAAAAAAGCAATGATTCAGTGCATATGTGTACCCAGTTTGGCAAGTTTCAGCTTTGTAAACTTTTAGTCTCCGGTCAGCCTATAGATGTAACAACTACAGGTGAGTAGATAAATGCATCGTCAGTATTTACAACAAATTAGTAATGTGCCAAATCTACCAGAAAGTGACTCTTGTCCAGGCACCTCAGATTCTTATCTCCAGATGTTGCGGAACTACAAATCCCACAATTCTACAGTCATCTATTGCATTCAAAGAATTCTGGGAATTCTATGCGATCAACATCTGGGGGACCAGAGTTTAAGAGCCATGTTCTAGTGTTTGTTTGTCAGAGCTGTAAAAATCATAAACCATGGCTATATGAAGCACACCACACCGCACAAGGGTATTCATGTAGTGAAAGTGCCATAGGAAGTAAAAAAATGTTTTTACATTTTTATTTATTAAATATTGTGCAAACAGGAATTATCTGTCAAATTTTATGGAGCTGTAGTAAACCAAGTCTTGTCTTCTCTAGATCAAACGACCTAATAAGTTTCACATACCTAGAGAACATGCAGCCTGTCAGATCATGTATGTGATATGCCGTGTAAATGTGTTAATTTGTGTAAATGTTCACTCATATGTACTGAATGTCTCAAAAGAATAATTGGGTTTTAAAGAGGGAGTATGCTAGGAAGGTACTGGTGAATTAAATTTGGAGAGACGTGTATACCATGTAACCAGGGGCGGACTGAGAGCCTTTGGGGCCAGCGGGCAAAATTAGATCCCAGGCCATTTGAAGGCCAAATATATGTGCATTAAATAAATATTGAAGGATCACTATAGTGTCAGGAAAACAAAGTGGTTTTCCTGACACTATAGTGCCCTAAGGGTGCCCCCAGCCACAGGGTCCCCCTCCCATGGCGCTGAAGGGGTTAAAACCCCTTCAGCAGCTTACCTTTATCCAGCACCGGGCTCCCTCGGTGCTGGTGACCTCTCCTACTCCGCCGACGTCAGCTCCTGAGTGGAGCAGATTGCGCATGCACGGCAAGTGCCACGCGTGCATTGAAACAGTCCATAGGAAAGCATTTCTCAATGATTTCCTATAGACGTTCTGCACGTTGCGCCTCTAGCGGCTGTCAGGAAGACAGCCACTAGAGGTTGGATTAACCCTGCCAAGTAAACATAGCAGTTTCTGCTGTGTTTACTTCTGAAGGGTTAAAATCTGAGGGACCTGGCACCCAGACCACTTCATTGAGCTGAAGTGGTCTGGGTGACTATAGTGTCCCTTTAAATATAACTCTCATATAATATGGCATTCCTTTGGATGTGTATATTGTGAAGACCTGTGTATCAATGCATGTTTGTATTTGAGTCCGTGTGAATGCACTTGTGCATGTCTGGATGACTACATGTGCTTTTTTGTATATAGGGTCAGTGTGAATGCATATGTGACAGGTGGAAGAGTGTGGGAGGTGGTGACAGGTGGCAGAGTGAGCAGGTACCTGGTGGCAGAGGGAGGGGGTGAGTGGTGGCAGAGTGAGGGGCAGACACAGTGAGAGGGGGGTGAGTGGTGGCAGAGTGAGGGGCAGACACAGTGAGGGGGGGGTGGCTAGTGATAGAGGGAGGGAGGGGAGGAAGTGACTAGTGATAGAGGGAGGGAGGGAGGGGAGGAAGTGACTAGTGATAGAGGGAGGGAGGGGAGGAAGTGACTAGTGATAGAGGGAGGGAGGGGAGGAAGTGACTAGTGGCAGAGTGAGGGAGGGATGACTGGTGACAGAGTGAGGGGGTGACTAGCGACAAAGTGAGGGAGGGGGTGACTAGCGACAGAGTGAGGGAGGGGGTCACTAGTGACAGAGTGAGGGAGGGGGTGACTGTCACTAGTCACCCCCTTCCTCACTCTGTCACTAGTCACCCCTTCTTTCCCTTACTCTGTCACTAGTCACCCCTTCCCTCCCTCTGTCACTAGTCGCCACCTCCCTCACTCTGTCACTAGTCGCCACTTCCCTCACTCTGTCAATAGTCGCCACTTCCCTCACTCTGTCACTAGTCGCCACCTCCCTCACTCTGTCATTAGACTGAGGGGGTGACTAGTGACAGAGTGAGGGAGGGAGGGGGTGACTAGTGACAGAGTGAGGGAGGGGGTGACTAGGGAGAGGGAGGGGGTCATGAGGGACAGAGGGAGGGGGGTGACTAGTGACAGAGTGAGGGAGGGAAGGGGTGACTAGTGACAGAGGGGGTGACACAATGACAGAGGGAGGGGTGACTAGTGACAGAGGGAGGGGGGTAACTAGTGACAGAGAGAGGGGGTGACAGAGGGAGGGAGGGGGTGACTAGTGACAGAGGGGGGGTGACTAGTTGCTCAGTCTGGTCTCTAGTCTCCCAGGCTGCTGCTCCTTCCCCTCGCTGATCGGGCTCTGTGTGTGAGAGCCGCGTGGGACAGGAAGCAGGAGACCTGGCAGAGAGGAGGTAATGCTGCTAGGTCTCATTAAGAGGGAGGGAGAAGGGGGTAATATGCTGAGCGGTAGGTTGTGGGGCCCTGCGCTCCATCAGGGGCCCCAACAACCTATTAATGAAAGAGATTTTTTTTTTAATTTTGCCGTTGCAGTTGGAGAGATCTCTAATCTCTCCTGCTGGAGCATGGCTTTCGGCCGGGCCCCTGGCTGTCTCGGGCCCTCGGTCCATGACCGATATGCCCGAGTGGTCAGTCCGCCCCTGCATGTGACTGCCTGTGAGATAAATATCTGGATGAAGCCATGTAATAAAACATAACTGGGGGAAAAAACAAACTAGTGGTGTAATTTGCAAAAATACATAGCGAGAATGATAAATAATATTATGAACTCCAGCATGGCATTAACCCCTTAACGACGAGTGACGGACAAGGTCCGTCACTCAGGGGATTGCCATAACGACGAGTGACGGACCTCGTCCGTCACCCGTTAAAATTAACCCCATGTTCGCCGCTATCGCGGCAATCGAGGGGTTAATGGTGCTCCGGTCTGCCTCTGTATTAGAGGCAGACCGGGAGCACCCGATAGTGCTGCCCCAGCACATGTGCTCGCTCTGACAGCTTAGTATACTTACCTTCCGCCTCCCTGCACTTCCTGGTCAGGAACAGTGCTGATCCTGGCCCCTGTAAAAAAATAAAAATTAAATTTATTTAAAATCCCACCCCCCTTTACTCATTTTAATTAAAAATTAACCCCTTCCCTGCCAATTGATCACTGACTACAGTGATCAATTGGCAGGGATTACATTTTACTGTCATCTGATTTTTTTTTTTTAAATATTTAAAATTAATTAAATAAATTTAACCCCTGAAGGTTAAAAAAAAAAGAATTAACCCTCAGGGGTTAAATTTATTTAATTAATTTTAAATATTTTAAAATTATATATTTAGCTTGCTGGGGTGGGTGGAAGTTAGTGGGGAACTGGGGGATTTGGTGTTAGGCTAACTAGGGGTTAACATTAAAGTTTTAAAAAAACTTTAAAAAGTTAAAAATTAAGCTAAAAAAAGGTTGTAATAACATTTAAGTAAAAAATAAAAAAACACCCCACTTTACCCAGTCCAAATAAAAATTAACCCCTTTCCTGCCAGTCGATCACTGCCTACAGTGATCAAAATACAGATCACAGTATTATACTGTGATCTAATTTTTTTTTAACCCTTGAGGATTAACTTTTATCTATTTTTTAACCCTCAGGGGGTTCCATTTATTTAATTTAAATATTTTATAATTGTATATTTTG